AGATCACAGGATTTTTTTGAAAGAGTTTGAAATAATCTTGAGGTTCCTAATGCTTTTTTTTTTGGTTGTTGTTTTAGAGAGAACCTTGGGAGCGTGCAGTTTAATTTTAAAAAAATTTAAAAAGTTTCAGAGGTGTTTTTAAAAAGAGTTTAAAAGGATCTTCAGGATCCCTAATACCTTTTTATTAAGAATGTGAAAGAATCTTAGGGCTCTCTGTTGCCTTGGGGGACTCGGGGTGTTTTATTTTTGGGACTCTTAGAATGGGAAATGATATTAGGAATCCTTTCTTTTATTTTTGACAGAATTTTAAAAAATCTTGTATTTTGTTTTGGAAAAATTCCGAACAAATCTGGAATGCCCCTGGTGTATTTTTTGAAAGGTGGCAACAATGTAGACATCGTCAAGATGTTTAAAAACTAATTAATAAATCACAAATAATACGACTTAGATACCATGTTACACAATTCTGCGTTAAAAATCCACCTGATTCTAGATACTGCAAACACCGCACCAGCTTCAATGCAGTAATCCCATAAACGACAAACACCATTAAAATGCAACAAATAAAACAGTCACTTCTTTTGACAACACAAAACGAAGACGAAAAAATCGCACTATAGACTAATCAAGCGCCGAACAAAAAATCACAATACGTTAGCTGGGAGCTACATCAAAGTAAAAAGCACAGAATTATTTAGTTTCAAACAAAACCTAGCGTCGCTATACAGCTCACCACATGTTTACTTTATCCCAACGTTCCATCCAGCAAATTCTGTCGATTTTTAATCAAACTCGTTAAAACTTTTCGCAACATAAATAATCGCAACTCAAAGAAGGTCTTCAAGACATCACGACTCAGTTAGCACGAATAAGAGATCAAAGCCGCGACGAATCATTATCAAATTATAATCAAACCTGGATGGAATTCTGTACGTTCCAATTATGCATGCGCTCGTAAAAACACAAAAATAATCCAAAGGCGGCCGACACCTGCACAAAAGCCAACCACTTCTATAATTAATCCAAAAGTTTTTTCCAGGCAGTAGCGAACTCTTAATTACGGCTCCGCTTCTAATTATTTGCATTTATAACCAAGGTCCTCGTAGATGCACCGCTTTGTCGCCTCCGCGAAATTAATTTGCATGTTTTAACCGCACGAAATTCTTTTATAAGTCTTAGGCATTGTTCCTTCACGGACAATCATTAGCTTCATTACTCGAGAACGAATTGAATGAAAATTGCACTTCATTAATTACGTTTTAACGAGTCGGTTGCTCAGCCCGTTCCGCGACAAATCACTCAACATCTAGCTCGACTCAACGCCATCTAAACAATGCATTTTTAATGCTCGAAAAAACTTTCGTGCGGCTTCTTTGGCCCTCCCCCGACGATAATTAGCTTCATTACTCTAAGAACGAATTGAATAAAAATTACACCTCATCAATTACGTTTTAACAAAATTAACTCGCCGCTCTTCCCTTCGTTAAACACGTACTTTATATTAAAATTGGCCGAGCTATAACAGGGCCACGTGAATGGAAACTGCGATGGCAATCGCACCTTTGGGGGCGGCGGAGGCGGTCACTTCCTTCCCTCGTCTAATCCGCAAACGCGGCCTTTTAGATATTCTTTCTACGGCACGGAGGAACACACGGTAAAACGGAAGCCTTTTCATAATTAAATCCAGAGCCAGCCACTTTGTAACCTCAATGCTCTTGCATTAGCAAAGTGCTTCAGACCGCACGAACATCAGGGCGGTTTTTCCTCGGACTTTTCTCGCTGGAATCCGACAACTCTCGGGGAATCTTTGGGGGTTATAAAGCAGACTAAACAGCTTTCTGGACAAACAGGCGGCGTAATTAATTAATTGGAGACAAAAGCGACTCAGACACAATGTTGATTATATTTTAAAACAAGAGACGCGCCGCCGGAATTAAGAGAGTGGATTTTCTTGGTGGAGGCGGAATTAATTCCGAGCTGTCACAAGACAGGTTTTTTGACCTTCTACATGTGTTGATCCTTGAACTTTTACGGCGACTTTTTCGAGTCGGGAAACATGAATTAGGTGCTCGCTCGGGTAGTAAAATCAAGGAACGGACTTATGGGATATTAAATAAGAAGTCAATAAAACATAATCTGGAATCGTTCCATTTCAGCCAACTATCTCCGAGCGCTTAGTCCCTTTCACGTAAGTAATCCTTTTTTTGTTCGTCATATACCGGCCACCAGACTTCGCGAACAATACGTCCTCTACGTATTACTGTCTCTAAAGGGATTATATCAAGCAAAATTCAGACGACCGAAAATAGGAATCTTGTCCCGGCGACAACTCCCACCTTTTTCAGGGACACACTCAATTAGCGCAAACGGGTCGTCGCAAATTCAAGACCTCACAATCCGTGGCAACAAAGCGACCAATTAACCTTAACACTTGAACTTTAACACCAATCTGTGCGCTTCTGAGTGCCCGTAACGCACTCACTTGACACAATTGTGTCGTGATGATGCAATTTTACAGCACGTTCCGAATTCCAGAGAAGCTACCGTTCACAAAATTGAGTGAGCCAGAACCCCCGTCATATAACTTCTATTAATATATAAACGGTGCTCTTCAGTAGATTTTATTACTTTCGTTAGAAAATTTGGCTTCAGCCTCCCCAGATTTAATTAGTTTGAAACTTTTATGACCACAGTGATTGCTTTAGAATAAACCGTGTAAAACGGTGTTGCTTTTTCCGGTTATCGGTACCCCTCAGGCACACCTTCGTGCCACCTTTCAAAAGTCTTCCCATTCCCAATCGATTCACACCGAAAACGACAGTACTGAAACTCAGACCGCAGATAGGTCCCAGAATTGTAGCCCCACTTTCCGGCCCATAATCTTCCCGTTTTAAGTTATTCCTACACCCGGCGCACTACCATAGAAACAAAAGTTCATGTGACGAGCAAACTTATCACGAGTTAATTATCCAAGCGATAACCTCTCCTATCTCCCTGGGTACGAAATCACACCGACCAGACCGAAGAATCCGAAAATGACGTCGGAATGCTTGCCCGGGGCAATTAAAGACCCCTGGAACACGGCTACGGTGACGCTTCATTGAGCATCTGCCGTCGCCGCCGGCCCACTCGGCTCATCGTGCATCATAAGCATCGACCAGGTCCTTTCCGCATCTTCGTCAAATTCCTGTCTGCCTCAGAGCATCGTCGTATTTCCCCAACGACGCTGAAATATTGGAACAATTCGCTGACGTGCGGGTGGGTGAGCCATTCATCATGATGAAGACCGAAAGTACGCCGGACCTCACACTTATCCTGGAGCACTCCTTCGCGACGCAACAAGTAACCACCTCAAAATGCTACTCTATACATGATTTAGCGCTGCTGCTGCTACCCGGACTCGATAAAGCCCTTCGGGACGCGCGTCGCGACGAACTGATTAAAACTTATCACCAGGCGCTGTGCACCAGACTGGAAGAAATAGGGCTTGCCCTACGACAGTCCCCCACGGGCGTGGCCCCGATGGGTCCTCGACTCATCTACAGCCCGATGGAAGGGCGCGACGAGGAGGTCTTCGAGCGCGTTGGAATTATTATGAATTGCATCGATCTGGGCTGGTTGTGATGGGTTACCACTTAATTAACGGAGAGTGTTTACTTTGGCTTCGTTTAATTTTCACTTTCACCGATATGCTTTATTTTCACAACAAAACGGATGTGGTTATTGATGTTGGTAATTGTTTGTGCTACGTTCTGATAGCACGGTCGAGGTCAACGCCGGCTGGTAATCCATGTTTATGAAGACGGGATTTCGAATAAAGAACATTAGTTGTGATGGCGTGTTTTATTTATGGAGATGAGTTCTCAAAGCGCTGATTTCGCGGGCAAGGTGCCGACTTTTAACGCAGTTTTGGGAGACAGGATTCTATTTAAATAACATTCATTTATTCAAAACCTCAGGTGTGGTAATCTACATTACCATTTATTACCTTACTTCTGAGAAAACGGTATTAGAAAAGACTTACTGCCACCAATATTCCAGATTTATAACAATAATTAGATACATATGTGTTTTTTAAATCTTCACAGATAAGCGGATTAGGTTAGTCCCTCTCTACTATGTATTTCCGGCTACGAATTTAGTTGGTTGAAGAGGTTAAGAAATTGCTACTGGAAACGTTGAACCTTTAGAGAACCGAGGGTATCCAACTTTTTTAAAATAAAACTTTACTAAAGAGACTCCAATTACATCGACTTTCGACTCAAAATCCAAAAGATTCCTGAAGGACGTTCGTCCGATAAGCGAAATTTACGATTGGCGTCAGTTACAAATGATGCTAAAAAGTCTCTTGTTTGTAACCCGTTAGGTGAGATAATTCTCTAATTTATTTCGTCCCCCTCGTGTAACGATGGTAACGTAGGCACGTTGCGCACAAGACGAGTAAGACAATTCTGACATTATTTCATCAATTTACCAAGATTTGACACCCTCCGGTATTTTTTTGTTAATTTACTTTCTGTAACTAACGCGCTTTTGATTATCTACTGAAACAGACTGACAATCATTAGTGAAGTCCTAATTATCTGCGCAAAGCAATAAATTATCCGCAAATTTCAAACATCGAACGAAGGTAGTTCCAAACCCGGCAACACGTTAAGTCGTAAAACCCTCACGTTCGCTCATTAGAAATTCTTTTCGTTCGAAGCGGTTGTTGAAAAACGAATCAAAATGAAACCAGGTTGTGGGTCCGGTTAAAAAGGTCCCGCGGGACGACCCACAAACTTGGCGAGTCGTAGCTTCTGCTAGATTATTTCGTCGTATGATTTTCCCCGCGCTTGTCGCTTTGACGACTTAACGCGTCAGCGGCGAATGCAACTTTAATGCAATTACGGGGAATAAAGTTAAGCCGTAGTTATATCTCTTCGCTGCCAATCGAGCCGCCGCCTTTTGTACGTCGAGTAACAAAGTTAGCAGTTATGGGAACAAAATCTGCGACTTACCGCACGCCGAAACTTCGTCGTCTTCACAGTCGGAGTAAGAGTCAGAGTTCGTGTCGTCGTAACAATACCATTTACTTGAATTCACCGCACTCAAAACGACCGCTTTTAATTTTCTCCTAGCGTTAAATTTTTTAAGTTCTTCTACCGAATCTCCGAGATGGATCCTTAAACCCTTATCGCGATCCTGGAACAAATCCCAAAGCTCGTGTTGGCACGTACTTATCTCCCCGAAACTCCTCCATAATTACCCTCAGCCATCTATGATTTAAAACTTCCTGTATCGTTATCCTCTGCTTCGGATCCACTGTTAACATTTGTTGAATTAAGTCTTTTGCACTATCACTAATGAGCTCCCACTGCGGCGAATCCATCTGCAAAGAGACAAATAAATAAAGATCGACTCGTGAGAAAAGTCCGTCGGGCAAAAACCAGAACTTTCTCTAACTCGATCGCCCGAGGTGCTAAAACTCCGATAGAACAAAGCAAAAACGGCGATATTTCAGAGGAAGTGTCTTAGTTTCGCGCTTAATTATTGACGAGGTGCGGGATCAAAAACGAGCAGGGACATCACTCACGTGTATCTTCCCTCGGCAAATGGACTCCATCAGTCTGCGACCGCTTCCATGGAAAGGCAACGTACCAGAGAGAAGGGCGTGGAGGAGGACACCGGCGGCCCAAATATCCACAGGTTTGCCGTAGGGTCGCCTTTCGATTACTTCGGGGGCCATAAAGCTTGGACATCCTACTCTGCCTACAATTAAAGTTAACTTGAGCCATAAATGAATCGCCGTCCCCAAGAAAAAGTTTAGCCCGGAGACCTAGTGCGCAGCAAAGACAAACAGTCTTTGAATTCTGTGGCGATAACTAAACTCCATGCGTTATCGTCATGCATTAGCACGAATGATATGATGGAAATGATGATACACCCAAAAGAGCTAAATGTGGCCCGGCCATCCGAAATTAAGTACATTTACGCTAATATCCTACACATTAACTAGAAAGTTGGAAGTATCTAAATTATGACAGGCATGGGCAATCGGACTCCATATTCCGTGGATTTTTACTTCTGGGGTCGCTTTACTTTGACAGGTAATTAATCATGTGTATGAATGAAAGAAATCGAGAAAATCAAACACAAAGAAAAACGATTTCGAACGTATCCGCCGACTGCTAATAAAATAACTCGACGGAGAAAAGGTGAGGGAACGAACTTCCAACGAAATATTTTAAATCCTCTTTCTTCTCACGGTCGAACGATTTCTCTACGATTTGCAAATTTAACGAAAACACAAGTCTATCCTTGCATACATAACGGAATCGAAATTTCACCCCTGCGCAAAAATTAGCAACGTCAGGGAATTTCTCCACCGTCCCAAACTTCGAACGCACTTGCCAACACGAACAAAGAGACGGATTTAAACAAGGTTGCCAAGATTAAGAACCACTTGTGAAAGCTATTACCCGTAATTTATTTACTACCCGATATAAACGTAAGCGGTTAATTTCTACCGCTAACGCATTATATTAAATAAATCGTGACGCTAATTGTCTGAAACGCCTAAAATCGACGCAGGACTCCTACTGACACAAAAATGACTACCTATTAAACACGGTTAAATCATAAACATTTTTTTCTATTTTCGAGTTTTACCCTAGAACACACTAGAGGCGGATTTAAACAAGGTTGCCAAGATTAAGAACCTCTTCTCAAAGCTATTACCCGTAATTTATTTACTACCCGCCATAAACGTAAGCGGTTAATATTTACCGCTAACGCGTAATATTAAATAAATCGTGAAGCTAATTATCTTGAGTGCCTAAAAACGACTTAGGGATGCTATTTAGACACACGGGTCACCTTGTACGCGTTTTGAGGTAAGCACTGCAATTACGGTCGTGTTCTGTGAATTTAAAGCGCCACGAGCGTGTTCGCACACGCATAATAAAATAAAAATTTCGTTGTTTCCCCACTTTTCAAATCCAGATACACTTGCTAACACGAACAAAGAGATATTCAGATTTGATAAAACGCGCACATCAAAGTGTCAAGGGAGCAGTCGCTAAAACGCAAATATTTCATTTTTCCGGCGTGTGAGAAAGATCGCGAAAGTAAAAGTTCCGCCACTAGTCCAACTACCGTAATTACGCGAAATAAAAATCATACGACGGAGCTTTAACGCACGGGCAAATCCTGTCAGACGCGTGACACTTCAGTCGTGAAATTTCCCTTCCAGACATTTAAATTTTTTAAAATTTCGTTAAATCGAGTAAAAATCGACCGGCTACGTAACCTTCGATTAAACCAGAAATCCTGTGCTTGTAACAACTGATGGACTCTCACGTTATGATTATGAAAATGATGTGTGAACAGAGCGATATTTCCGGTCAGCGGATAAAACAACGCAGCCAACAGACCGTGAGCAATCGTGCCTGCAAACCGGACAAAAATAGAAATTCGCTCGCTGCGACACCAAAACACATCTGGTGGACGGAGTTTGGGGCGCACGCGATAGCGCTGACTCGGCTAAACAGGATTTTCCGATGCAGCGAAACCGGTCGATGGTTGCTCACGGACCATTAGCCGCCGCCGCCGCTCTGCGGTGGTGGGTGGTTATGGGATGCAATCAAGCACTGGAAGTTATGGCTTACCGGCTCTGTCAGATTTTAGATACAGCTGACCCATAGGACTGAGGTTGGTCCGGTATTCTGACACAAGGCATTCTGCAGGCCGCCAACACATTACCATGAATGTACCAACACCCGTAAGTCAGGGGTCCAAGGCACTCGGACGCGTTTAACCTCCTAGACGTCGCAGACTGAGCTAAACGACGCAATTCACCGTCACAAAGTTAGAATTTAGTGTACCCGGACCTTTTTTTGGAGCGTCCGCACAGAACAATGCAAAAAGTTTTTTGAAAAGTCCAACTACCCGGCAAAGGACGAATATTAGGTAAGTGTTATTTAAAGTAAATTCCGGCCGTGTTAACGGTTTGTACCCGAACCTGGCGTCACTGTTTACGACAAAACCGAACGCCTCGAATTACCATAAGTGACACCCTTGATGTTAAAACCGCGGACGATCCACCTGTTGTTTAGAAAACAGTCGGGTCGATATCGAATTTGGGTCGACGCAATTTACTGCAATGGCTGAAGTAACGAGACAAGTTTTTACGGCTTTTAGATAACGCGGCAGCTACTTGAGGGTAGACTGGGGTTATAAATCCGCGGAAGGAGAAATTGCGTCGCGAGGAAACTTCGCTCTGATGTCTTTTCGACGATCGGTTAGCTCTATAAACATGTTCTTGAACTTTATCAAAAAATTGTTAGGGCGCTGTGACGACTTATGGGAGAGCCTATAAGAGGCTTTTGTTATTGCAAAGTCGTCTACGCACTTGACGAGGAATAAGATTTATTTAAGGCGCGATTGCGACTCTTAAATATTTCAACTTCATTCCGTGCATAAATATGGAAGGTCGAGGGTGAGAAAGCGTTCGGATTTGGAGTTAGGAGGTGGGTTCACGGACGAGGGAAGTGCGTGAAAGTGCGACTAGAGCGACAGTAACTCAACCCTGGACGATATCCTAGAAGGATTTTTAGGCTCGCTTGTGTATTCTAATAGCGTGTTTATTTGCGAACGTTTTTTTTTTAAGTAAAAGAGTATAAATTGAGAGTGGGAGCACTCATGTATGACTTTTTTGATTCGTGAGAAAGGGGTATCTGTTCGTTCTCTTTGTGCGACATGCAATTAGAGTCGTCTAGATAGTGCAACTTTTCATTAAAATTCAGTCCGTGCCCGGCTTGAGCGACTCGTCACTTTCATTTCATCTTCCGCCCTTAAAACGACCAAACGAGGAATTCCTTCCTTGTAGACACTAATTAACCGTTTCCTCGAAAAGCTGCAGCGCTTCGACTAACGCCCCAAATTGCCAATTAGAATAAAGAAATTAGTCACGTCCGCAATATTTGTAAAATTTCCAACGCGTAAATCCAGGTATTCGTGCCACTACTAGACAACATAACCCCGAATAAAGTAGGTCGATTCTATGTAATTTCGTCCCACCTCCAAACATCCCCGTATTAGCATACATTTGAATATCATTCCGCAGAAGCGCCAATCCCGAAATTCTTAATACCGTAGTGTAACGTGCCTTAGACCGCCGACAAACGATCCGTTTTTCTTTTTGTTGTTTGGCAACGCGACGACGCATACAGGCGGACTAATCAACGACTGTTAAATTCCATTAGGGCAACTGTAAATTGCTCATCACGGAAACTGCCATGGCGTTTTTACTCCCCCGGAGTTTTAGAGAAATGAGGTGGAAGCTCGGCGGCGGCGGCGACCTTAACCGATATATCGAGTCCTGGGTCGTTCCCCAGCCGAGCTTTAATTTCCCAGCTTCATTGTTTTATGAAATGTGTTTTCATCGGTCCGCGGTTAATCCGATTGCCTCCAAGAACTGCTAGTGTTGTGTCGGGGTTATTTACAGGGGCTGTCTTCGGCAATTCCGAAACCGGAAGACATTTGCGGGTAATGAATTTGTAGAGCCGTTTCGAGGGATCCGAAATTAAATCCGCAGCCGGCGGAAAAAACGACGCGGTAGGCGGATCAACGACGAACGCAATCGAGCGACTGGGATGTATCAAGGTGAACAGCGACCTTGTTGCACTCAGTCGCCATGTAATTATGCGGGCTATGCATAGAAACCTAGAGTAAGCAAGCGAGTTAGAAAGGCAACCATGCGGTTAAAGCAACTTCGCGCTTGTTCCAGAATAGCCGTAGGTGTAAAATTTCATGAATAAACGTCCATTACTTCTAAAACGACTCGCATTACGGGATTACTATTATGAAAGCTCGAATGTCGTAAATCTAGTTTATGTTGGCTAATGCGTTTATTATTAAATTTAGCACGTAATGGACGTATTGTTTAACGGAAAGAACCTCAACAACTCGTGTTTGTTATTATGAAAACTTCCCCCTCCACCGTCAAACGAACTAAATTATCGAAAACGGTGTCAGATGTGAAGCCGAGTTAGTGGTCTGAATTTAAATTAACCCTTAAATGAATTTTAAATATTTGCAAAAGCGAGTGGTGTCTGTTTCTGCGCTCGTGAATGTTTAATTCCGTCTAAATCGACGACGTTTTCGTGGATCTTTGCCAGCAGCGGCGACATATCGATCGCACACTTGCATTAATTAAATACGGTGGTTGAATGCGATCGGGGTTGCACAGAAACCCGCTACTTCATACGCGAATATTCGCCCGACTGCGCCATTTATGCTTGCATTAATTCGATGAAAACGTATACAAAAAGATCACCAAACAAACGCAAACTTATTCTCTCCAACTGCCACTTGCAACCTTTATGGGGCGAAATGTAGGTCAGTAGGTGTAGTGAGCAGCGCCTGGTAACATTAGCCACATTCAAGGACCATAAAACGGGCCAATCGGGTTCAAGATCAAGTTTAATGTTCATTCACCGTTTGAACATGACACGGCACCCTGCATGTACCATGCACGCAGACAATTAACACAGCTACATTATTTAAATGTCTTTTTTAAAGGAACAAGGAACGTTATTTAGTTTGGAAGCCAAGCGATGGCAGTTAGGAAGCGTATATTTCACTCGGAGCTTGTGAACGGCACCCTCTTTAAGAAAAAGTGCGACACGCCAACACCTTGAGCAAACAATCTAGCTTTGTTTGCACCTTCAGTACTTGGATCTGTAAATTTGACGTCAACACAATTATCTCGCTACAAATAAACCAGACAACTCGACATCTTACATATTTTGGAACGAAAACAATCGTTTGTGCGTTTTTTAGTTTGTCGGTCACGAATATCGTCCGTTCAAAGTCTAAAGCAATTTGCGACCATATCGACTTCAAAGCTTTGGCAACAAGAGACGAATGTTGGAACTGCGAGGCTTCGGCAATCATAGCTAGTTTCACAAGTCTCCACAGACATCGTCTGGAATAGTCGTCTGGTTTATGTTTTATATACACGAAAAGTAGTAAAGGTGGTGTTGACCTTGAAAAGTGCCCGCTATTCTACTCGAGCCCCACTTTCTACTCGACCCCCTTTCTACTAAAGGGTGGGGGAGCCTCGCTTCACTCGCTTCTGCAAGACTTACCTGAGTGAATTAATTGTGGAAACGTACACCGCACTGTCATAACTCCGTGTCGTAAGAGCAGGGAGTGCGTTTGCCGAATCCGTCTTAGTAAATACATTATTTAATCCCTATGTTGCGCCTTTGCCGTCTAAAAACCCCACGACATCTCGTTTGATTCCGTAGCAAATGAAAACAAACAAAAAATCGCATTAAACTTAAACGAAATATGTACGAGTCCGTTAGAGTCGAACTCCTCAGCAAACTTGCCGTAATTTAATCTAGAATAAATTGGAGAAATCGCCATGGCAGTTTCTTTTTATTACTCGTGTCCGTGAGCTGACTTCGTAGTTTCTTTTAACGGGGAGCAGATGACGCCTTCAAGAGTCCTTTTTGTGCCTTTTACGCCGTCGTGTTACCCCAGTAAACACAATAAACACACACACGCGCACACCAGGTGAAGGAGTGTGGGTTTAGAGAGAAGACATGTCACGTGTACGACACAAACAATAAAACATCGACTTACCCCCCGGATTATTCGGATGTCTATCCGGTAATTGGACGGCGACTCCGAAACCACCGAGTTTTACGGGCGCCGAGTTCTCCTTAGTGGCCAAAAGTATACAGTCGGGTTTGATGTCCCTGTGGACTATGTCGTTTTCGTGGCAGTACCTCATGGCCTCGAGGATCTGACGCATGTAATGACTAGAAACGTCAAGACGAGAAGGTTAGGATCGAAAACGTGGAATAATTTACATTCCACGAGAAGACGTGATTTAATACAAGCCAGGGCAAAGGAAGGTGGATGCGGCGGTCTTTAATATTGAAATCTGGAAGCGTTTCCACGGAAATCCCCACGTTTAATGGGTATTTCCTATGGCTCGAGTCGAATGCATCTCGAGAACGAATTTCCACCGGACTTGTCTAACATTCATTGTACACGTCGGCGCGGCTTTTAATATCCAAATTCAATTATCAAAAACGCTGCCTCTCGCCAGCGACAGGCGAGCAAACGCCCGTTCCTTCTTATTCCCAAATTGCACCTGAACATGTCGTCGTAAAAATGCGAGTTTCATGTCTACCGCCGCACGTTTGATAATAAATTCTACTTGCCTAGCTACTGCTTCGCTGTAAACGAATCCCGAGGATGCTCTCCGTACCACTTCGTAACAAAGGTCGGAGCCGTCCATGCTGAAACAGTGATAAATGAAATTAGTACACGTGTCGGGGCCTTAAACGAATTGCATACGAGACAATCTCTAATGCAATATTAACGCGTCGCGGAATTTATGACTCAATGGTTTGCCCGCTGTAGCCACGAGCCTACCGAGAACTGCTTAATAATTCACGAACTACCAAAAATTCGTTACGTTCCGACGCACTAATTACTAAGCGGAAGGTATTCGTTCGCGGTACACACCCAAATCTGACGGACCACAACGTATATACCGCTCTCCCACCTGGTGCGACGTCCATATCTATAGTGTCGCTCCGCAATGGGAGGAACCCCGCGCCGGTTCGCTTCCGTAATACCAGCTGCGTTTCTGTCTCAAAATAGCAAAAATATCTTTTCCGCAGCCACAAAGCAGACGCCTTCTCGTTTTATTACTTAATACAGCTCTTTCCGCATCGAATCGATACCGCCAAAAACATGGTCAGGGACGTCGAGTTAATCTTCGGCACTCAGCTGACGCCAATTCAAGCAACAGTGCCGAGCTGCTATAAATTTAAAAAAATTGCAAGGGTCGGACGTCAGGTGTTTGCAAAGTTTTTCGATTACGAATTCAGGAGGAGAGCCAATCGCGGCGTTCGTTCGTTGTCACGTGTCCGTCTTATTAGACAGATCGACCCTCGTTAACGGGCCGGTCGATCACGCCACGAAATATTAGAGATTGGTATCGGGTGAAGGCGATTAATGGTAAGGTGCGCCCACGGAAACCGGAGCTCGGACAAAAATTAGAGCAGTAGGCGTGCTGCGTTTAGGGCGACCCTAATAACTTAGGATCAATCGATTCCGGGATGAATGAACAAGATGTTCGTTTGGAATGTTTAAAGCCCATCAGGCTGGTGTATGGAGGTGCTGATTAAGTTCCTCGCGCGAAAATAGTCCTTGCCGGACTAGGTTTAGCCGCTTTTCATCCTCTCTTCGATTTACGCCGCTCACGTGAGCACGAGCTCTCCCTTCCCTCTTCCGCTTCGGTAAACACACTTTCGACACGTTCTCGACAGCCGAAGAAACTAAATTTCAATCGGACTAAACAAAGTCGATTTATACTCACAATTCGAATACCATGTACAGCATGCCTTCGGACGAGTAGGTTTCTAGGAGTTCGACGATGTGCGGGTGCTTCAGCATGTGACATATTGTGGCCTCACGCTTCAAGTCTGCAAAAAATTCGTGACGACGGGGAAGTGACGGATTAGGGGGACACTCACCGTCCGTACTCAGGCCTGGACTAGAAGTGAATTTTGCGACATCTACGATTTTCGCTGCGAACTGCTGTGCGGTCTGCCGGTGAATGCAACGTCTAACTACACTAAATGGTCCCCTGGAACAACAACCGAAAATAAAATATCTTGACTGACGGACTTATCAAAACCTATTGTTTCAGTAATTAGTTTTGTGGAATTGGCAAACCCGTGTGTATTTGTAATTAAACTTGGTGTAAACTTTTTGACATCCTGTTAACGATAGCTCAAGAGCTAGCGCTGTTAAATATTCAAAAGCAAAATCCGCTTTACAACGAGTGTTTGTCGAAAGTTGCAAAGTTTCTTCAAAAAAAAAAAAAAACAAAAAACAAAACTGGGATGAATAAGCCATAAGGCTTTTTGTGTAAAAACATGAACAAGGTCACTACCAGGATAATTACTGAGGCAGGCTGCTTACTCAAACTTCTAAACACTATTGCAAGTTTAAGCAACAGAGTGCTAACTTTCCCTTCACCGAGCTTTCAAGAAGCTACTTTTACGACCAATTTAAAGCTTTTAGTGTCTCTTAGATAAGGCTTGTATTGAAAACAGACGAGTTTCGCTTGATGACCAGTCGATAACGACCGGTTAACACTGCGCGCACTTTTCTTTCTTGTAAAAAGTCGTCCTCACTACTCCATTAGAAACCTGGAAGGAAGTTTCGCAAATCTCGTAACTCTTTAATGGACCCTTGAGCTAAAATACGATGTTAATTCGTTCGTTTAGTAATTTTCTACAAACTCGTAATTTCTTCGAGAGGTTGTTTTCAGACCCAGAGTCAGATATAAATTAGCGAAAATCCCTTAATTCGACAGTTAATAAAGAGATAAAGTCGGAATAGAACGGAGCGAGTTGGGAGCTGAAACTGAATTGACAATTGGGTTTAAATCCGACGACTTAGTGACGTCGCGTGTAGTAGTGTAGTCACCTTTTTGTGTCGTAATTAAAAACAAGTAAATAACTTTTGTGTCGTTTTACTGGTGAATTAGGCCGCGGGATGAGAAATGGCGCGCCGCATCCTGGTCACGGCACCACCTCGCCACCTGCCTTTTATCTTCCTGATGGAGCCCGATGTCCGTTAATGCATTTACGGCGTCCGCCGCCTCTCTCATAATGAAATAGGAAATTACAATCAGCGAACAATGCCGATTGACACTAATAAATAACACCATGTGAAATCTGGCGCCCCTATAATATTTCGCAGGGAGTTGTGGCGTAATCGTCAATAAATCATTTACCTGTGAATAGATGTGTGACGCGCCAATTTTCAAAAGCCCATCAAAATCCTGTTCATTTTATCACTAAATCAATCTGTCAACGTCAACAAAGTAGCTTCATATTGTTTCTTATATATCGATTTGAGGTAGCGGTGTGCTACAAGTGTCTGAGACCGAAATTACCCTCCACCTATGCGGCGGTTGCGTTTCACAATCAGACAAAAGCGGCGATAATTTATCAGTTGCCTGAATTAATTCGATTAAGTTAAACGCCGGAATCAGGGGGATTTTTGGCTCAACCGAGCCACAAGTCTCGAATGCACCTGGTGCAAGCTAGACAAGACAAAATTTTAATCAAAAACGCACTAGTAAGCTGATAATCTGACAGCGTTTCAGTGTGATCCAGATGGCACGTTCCCAACTCGAACAATAACCTAGCAAACAACTCATAAACCTAATCGCGCTCACGGCGATGAATGTTAGACACATACCCCGAAATCCACAACCCCACTTCCCGGGCTATAGCCACGTCGGGTATTAGATGAGGATCAACCTCAAGTATTCGGCGTTCACAAAACGCAACTAGCAGTTGAGGCACTACGAAGTTATTCGTGCTGATGGCTGAGCAATGACATGCATGTGGACGGCTAAGGCATACCGTGCCTACCCCGACAGGTCCTCAAGATTCGTGAGCTCAACCCAAATAGTGTCCCTCTTGATTGTTCCAGTATTTAAAATGCGTTTGATCATCAACCGTCAACCTACACGAGGTTACGTTACAGCGCACGGGAGTCGCGTTTGAAATAAAATATTGATTAATGCAATCCGACTCGGCGATCAATAAAACATACCCAGATCATGTTAACAGTTGTTAATTAGTTCAATTATCTTGGATGTTGGCGCTAAATTTCCCCAAGAATAAATCAGAGAGGAGCCGACGCTAACTCGATTTAGGCCGTTCCTAATTGCCAAACAAGCCCGTTAGAGTGGTTATTTTAAAAGTTGCGAATTCTATTAGTGTGTTTTTGTAAAATAAACGAGGCGAATCAGGTCGCCAATAAAAAAGGATAATGGCCGATTCTTCGGCCGGTTTCACCTTGACAACTTAGCTTGAATGAAGGTGCAAGGAAAACGGAGAAAACTGAGGTGCCTCAGTGCCATTAGGGCTTATTGTATTGTCGACGTTGCTTAAAATACAGATTTCCTCCAAGTGTTATCAATTGCTTTTAAAGCATACTCCAAACTCTTTTAAGGATCGGTTGACACAGGAATAAAATTCTGACCCTTTTCTTTTGTGTTTTTGGGAGGGAAAAGTTTACGCGGGAGTATTGTCGACTCATCACTATCTTTCTGTTTACCGAAAGTGCAATAAATCGTCCAGAATCAAGTACGACGGTATTCGGGACCTCCAACTGAAAAATATTCCTTTTTACAGACCTTTAACCAACAAACGCTTTCACGGGAGGGTTTATTCGAATCGATACAAGTTATGTATTCAAGTTTTCCTAATGCTGGCTGATTTCTCGGCATGAAAAGAAGTGAGACGTTTTACGCAACCACCAGAACGGTTTTGTAGTTTGCGGAAAATTCTCGCCGCCTAAACCGCAACAAAGGGCGCGTGAGACCTAGGAAACACCTAAATGGAAAGTTGCCACAGGAACTTGGATAAACTACTCGTGGCGGCTTCTTTCGCTTCTTTTCACAATAGAATACTACGAAATTAGCACGGTTTCACGTCTTCTAATCTCAGAAAATCAATTTCAGAACCTTGACTCATCTTTGTACATGAAATGAGAAAAAAATACTCAATGAGAACGACCAGAAGCTTGCGCTAGTAACCATGGCGACGTTTAAACGTATAAAACGTCTGCAGAAATAGCTATTTCTGTTATAGATTCATTTAAGAAAATTGACTGAATCCCAGCGTGAACAGAGACGCGGCATTAAAAGAAAATGTTTTAAGTCTTTTTCATTTTCAACTACTCGCAGATCTGAAACCAATTACTAGAACTGCCAGTTTTTCTTTCAAACATAAATTCTGTACTTAGAAGAGACCAAAATAGCTTAAGAATTCCACATTTACAATTAATTTTGAAACAGCAGCAACGACATTACTTAAAAAACAAGCCCACAACAGTGTCGCCAGAACACAAAGTTGCCAGCCAAAATATGATCCAGAAGCCCCACTATATAACTACTAAAACGATAGGGCGTTTTGAAGACCACACCAAATTGGCAGCTGCTGACCATTTATATGAAGAATATGAGTAATAATATAGTGGGGGTTCTAGCTCAAGAAATCTGAGCTAGGAGCCCCACTACTTTTTATCAAACGTTTGTCATAGCCTTGTGCTCGCTCGACCGGACCCCTCTGGTTGATCATCCCCTCATATAGCTTAGTAGGAAAGTACAGATTAAAATAAAGCATTTAAGTGTAGTCAGGTTAGCCGAGCGGTCTAATGCGTTAGATTTAAGCTCTGATTCTCAAAAGGGAGCGTGAGTTCCAATCCCACACCTGACAGTTTTTTTGCATTTAAATAAAACACATTTTAATGTTATATTATTTTATAAGGAAATGTATAATACTACCAATTGTAAATATTTTTGGCATTATTTAATAAACAGAAACATTTATTTTATTATTAGATACATGATTGTCACATGCTGGAATTTCTTTGGTCAATTTCACAGTCTTCTATTGCTTCCAGATTCATAATTTTGGGACAACCTTTTCTTAGCGTTTCTATGAGATAATTTTTCTTATTTCTTCATTTCACGTAAACGACATCCACCTCATTCTCCTTGATTCATTAAATCTCTTGAACAATTCTTTGAATTCTTTGGTAGGGATTTCAGTTCGGGCCCCCGAAATGGTTTCACTTTCTTTAAAAAAAACCGTTGGGACCCCCGAGAAGGTTTCAGAATCTTAAAAAAAAAACAGTTGGGGCCTCCGAGGTTTCACATTCTTTAAAGACAGTTGGGACTTCCAAGAAGGTCTCACTTTCTCAAAAAGACAGTCGGAACCCCCGAGAAAATTTCCCCTTCTTAACAAAAAGACAGCTGAGGCCCCTGAGAAGGTTTCACGTGTCTAAAAAAACAGTTGGAGCCCGCGAGAAGGTTTCACCTCCTTTGAAAAAAGGCATTTGGGAACACCGAGGTTTCATATTCTTAAAAAAAAATTGGCGCGCAGAGAAGGGTTCACATTCTTAAAAAAAATCGAAATTTATTTCGATAGAAATTCCTTCGCCCTTGAAGTATGGTCCCACGAATCCCCCTTCTTTAAAATATAAAATTTGATTTTGCGATTTTCGTTTTATGATAATTAAGACTCCACAGTTCGCACAAATGTGGACAATATGAAATATATTTAAAGCAGATAACCAACAGGAAAAAATGTAAATATCCTCAATTTCTCAGTACACGCTTAACTTCGACTGTTTATGTTTATACTTTGAAAAAAACTGAACACGGATTACCTGCCTGATAAAAATTCGGACAGACGAACAGTTAGACAGACAGACAGACAGCCGGAAACGGGAAACCTATTTAGCTTACACCCGGGAAGCAAAAAGCTAACAGCAAAGTCGGCGTGAAGGCTCTAATCAATTGGTAGCCAGCTGTTTACGCGTTAACGTATATTTCATATCAACCTTAACTTGGAAATTAGTTTTCTGGAGAGTCGTGCCTGCAATATCATATGAAGTAAGAGGAAATTCCAACTACTGCAATCTTCAGCATTTCGTTTTTTTCTCAACAACCACGACGAAACTAATAAGAACCAGTAGCGATATAGTGGGGGTTCTGCTCACTTTATGATGCGAAAACTTGAACTTTGACTCCCTTCGGCCACGTAGAATCAAACA